CAGAACATGAGGAACTGTCTTAAAGGGTCGCTGCAGTGGGAAGGTTGAGAACCACTCCACTAGGGGCTGAGGCAGCTGTCCTCTTTGCATGGGCTTCTGGGAAAGAACCCAACAAAACAATGTTTCACTACAAGTAGTTAGATCAGAAGGAAACTCCGGTTCCCCAAACTCCAAATAGAAATGAGCTCAGTCTGGACCATAGGAGGCCCTATAACTACCCGTGGTGCCTATTAGCATATCAAAGTGGATGCTGGCCTCTAAGCTCACAGTATCCCAAGTACCTGTTACACATTTCCAAGTCCAAGCTGGTATCCCGTTCACAGTTCCTTCCCAACCCTAAACTCCCTCTAGCCCATGGGCATCCTTCTCCCTGGCTGTTCATTCTTCTTATAACCCTACTATTATTGCTATATTTCTCTGTCTGTCTGTCTGTCTGTCTCTGCTCCTGCTTCTCTCACCATGCTTTCTCTATTCTCTATCCCCTGTTCTTCTCCCATCCCTTGCAGATATCCCAGGCCATGTCCAGTCTGCTTCTTTCTCTCTCTGCTCTGGACTCCTCCAGACGCCCCTGGCTGTTCTCTCTCTCATCTCTACAATAAAACCCTTTCCCTTAGCCACACCATGGAGCGGCCATTGTGGTCATCAGTTTATCCACATACTTCCCCATTACCTAGAAAGTCTGGGAAATGCCACTGTCCCCACTCATGCCTCCACTCCTCCGTGGGTGGCTCAGTTTTAAATCTTTGATCTTATAGCTGGGGTGCTGGGACTGGTCTTGAACTCACTGTGTAGCCCAGGCTACCCTCAGACTGGCAGTCTTTGCCCCAGCTTCCCAAGTGCTGCCAAGCTCGACTGGGGCTATATTTTTTCAAGGAATTCAAAAGCTATTGATTTTGTATAAAAATATGTATTTACTATAAATCTATTTTCATTCTAAACTGATTGTGTGTGGGGTGGGTGTGGGGGAGGATGTAGGGGATTGAACCCAGGGCCTTGTATATGCTAAGCAAATACTTGCGTTAAGCCCAAGATCCCCTTGGAAAAAAAAATGTAATTTCAGAAACTGCCACAGATAATGTATAATGGCACTGAGGGGGACATTAAATAAATTATATTCTGAGTTCTTCTGTTTCCCAGGGGCCAGCCTACTGTGCAGTTCGAATGAAAATGTCTTGCACAGACTCGTTTTTTTGAACTCTTAGTCCCTGTATAAAGTGGAGGTTTTGGCACTAGATATATGAAAGGAGGACATGATCTCTCCAAGGTATGGTTGAGGAGAAGGTTTTTATTGTAGATATGAGGGAGAAAACAGCCAGAGGAATCTGAAGAGTCCAGAGAAGGGAGAGAAAGCAGTAGACAGAACATGGCCAGTAGACTGAACCAGGCCATGAGAGGAGGCAGGTGGGGAGAGTGAGAGAGGAAGAAACGAGAGAGGAAGCAAAGGAGACCAAGACAGAGGACCCAGAGAAAGCCCAGAGAACCAAGAGAGAACATGGCCGAAATGGCTGGGTTATACAGGAATGAGAAGCTGGGGGAAGGGAAGCCCATGAGGTGGAGACGCTTATGAGGGAGCAGGGTGAGAAGAGCTGAGAGGAGCCATGAGGCCAGCATGGACTTTGTAACAGGTACATGGGAGAGAGCCACGAGGCCAGCATGTGCTTTGGTATGCTAACAGGCACCACAGTTAGCCATTTGTCCCAAGTTTCTTTTGGACCTGACTGTCCCCAGCTGGTGGATCTGTTTGGGGAAGCTTTGGAGGTGTGGCCTTGTTGGAGGAAGTATGTCACTGGAGGTAGACTTCAAGGTTTGAAAGACAGCCCTGGACAGGAGAGATGGCTCAGTGATTAAGTCGATGGCTACTCTTCCTGAGGACCCAGTTTTGGTTCCCAACACCTTCCCAGTGACTCACATCTATTTGTAAATCCAGTCCCAGGGGATCTAATGCCTTCTTCTGGCCTCCATGGGCATGAGGACATGGTGCATAAGCAAATATGCAGGCAAAACACTCTTACACATAAAATTAAGTAAATACATACATACATACATACATACATATATACATGGATAAAAGACTTAGGCTGTTTCTAGTTTGCACTTTGTGCATGTGGGTCAAGAGGGGAGTCCTCAGCTTCCTGCCCCTTGCTGCCACACCTCCTGTTTGGCTGAGACCTTCCTGGTAGTCAATATCCCTGACTTTGGTATATACTTCATAGAGTTGCTTCATTTTGTCTTCTGATTTATTCATTTATGAATTAACAGCTGAATTCCTGTGATAACCCAGACCCTGATTCAGTATCAGGTATGAGTTGGGAGTATGTGTAAAGATGAATATAAAATAAATGTCTCCCAACCCTGAGGACCTGGCTTAAAGTGAAGAGTGGTTTGATTCTGAACTTTGTCACTGGGCTTTGGAATTTTATTCCCTTACCCATCAAGCGAAGAGCTCATCTCCAACTTAATTTTCTTTGGGATTGACCCACGCCTCAGGCTGGAAGCTCTGTGAGCAGGAATAACTTGTTTTGGCTTTGTCTGCTCCTTGACTCTGGCAGGTGTTTCTTCACTATCTCATTATGGCTTTGATGCTTTTAAGAAAATTAAACAAAGATTTCATCCAGTTTTGCAAGCTGCCTTTGGTAGGAGGAACGATCTTAATCACTCACTCGACTGTGGCCAAAGGAGACATACAAAGTAACTTAGGTTCACACCCCAGCTGTTATTTCCAGCTGGCTGGCGTTAGCCCATTTAGCCTCTTTCTAGCTTAGACACACACATGAAACCCTACCGACTAATCTTTGTGGTTGTACAATTTGAAAGTGAAAGCCTTTGTTTGGGTAGAGGACAGTGACAGCACAGTGTTCATTGACTGTGTCCCAAGGTAGAACGCAAGTTCCAGGGTTATGGAAATGGTGCATTGACCCCCGACTGTCTCTTCCCCCAGCGATGCTTGCTACAGAGAAGCTGCACAGTAAGCATGAACTGTGGGGAAGGGTTGCTTTGTAAAGATAACCAAGTACTCAGTCAAAGTACCTATTATTTAAAAATAAAAACATGCTGGGTGTGTTGGCAGAGTCAGGTAGATCTCTGTGAGTTCCAGAACAGCCAGGGCTCTTACATAGAGAAACCCTGTCATGAAACACACACACACACAAACACACACACACACACACACACACACACACACACACACACACACACACACACACACATATATATATATAGGCTTCAAGATTAAATCATTAAAAGCATCTACTATGTCTATGTAAAGGACCTTATTCCTTTTTATTATTTTATAAAGTTGATCAATGTCAACTTGGTTATGTTTTAGTTTTTCATTTAATGTGGTGTTTTAATAGAGTCCTTATCCTAAATATTTCTTCTGATCAGAATTATTTAAACAAAAGTTCTATCAGTCATTGGCGTGTGTGTGTGTGTGTGTGTGTGTGTGTGTGTGTGTGTGTGTCTGTCTGTCTGTCTGTCTGTCTGTTGCCTGTTTTAAACCAAGGGTTGATTTAGTAAACCTGGGTTACCCTCAACCACCAAAGCTGGGGTGCCAGCTCCTATATACTCCTCTAGCTTTTTAGATAAGGATTTATAATCAGAACATTTAAATAACCCAAGCATGGTTTTATGTCATGACCCAATGACCCAAAGACTCCATATTTCAAGTGAAAAAGCCATAGCAATTCTGATCTGGACTGCAGATTGGCTTCCCCTGTGCCAGATTCTTTGCAGTCACTCCCTGCCTGGTGATCTTAAAACATTCCAGCTAACAAAGAATGCTACCACTCCCATTTTCTGGGCAAGGAAACATGCTTGGAGGGATGGTTTTACCTGCCCAAGGCCACAAAGCCATCAAGAGGAGACAGACCAATGGCACCCCATTTACTACCTTCCTGCTTTCTGGATACCCATGTTCCATTGCTCTCAAAAGAAAAAGTGACAGTTCTGTGTGGTCTGAGTGTCTGTTAAGTTCATGGAGTGTTTACTTAAAATTTTACCATGTTTGCCCCTAGGGCTGTGCTAATATGCCTTTAAAAGGTGACAAGGAGGCTGGGAGATGGCACAGTTGGTAAAGCACTTGCCATGGAACCATGAGGACCTGAGTCTGGATCTTCAGAACCCTGTAAAAAGGGTCATATGTTAACACCTGTAGCTCTTGAGTTAGGGGGCAGAGATAGGAGGGGCCTGGGGGCTTCCTGGCCAGCCGGTCTAGCAGAATTGGTGAGCTCCCGGTTCAGAGAGGGATCTTGTTTCAAAATACAAGATGGAGACAACTGAGAAAGCATCTGTCATTCACCCTTGGCCTCTATGTGCACTTGCTTGCGCAAGCACATGAGTGGGCAAGCGCATGCAAGCGTGCACAAAGTGATAAAGGCCATCATCATGATAGCAGCCATCAGGACTGAAGAGGCTGGACACCTGGGTACACAGAAGTAACCCACATCAGGACTGGGTGGTCTGCTCAATACCAATGGAGCACCCACAGGCTGAGCATGCTGGGCTGAGGCACCCATCCATCTCTCATGGACTCAACCAGAGACTAGGATTTCAGAAGGGTGGAGGGGCAAGTGTGACCAGAATATATTATATACATGTATGAAAATGTCAATTAATTTTTTTTGAGACAGGTTTCTCTGCATAGCTTTGGCACCTTTCTTGGAACTCACTCTGTAGCCCAGGCTGGCCTTGAACTCACAGAGATCCGTCTGCCTCTGCCTCCTGCATGCTGGGATTAAAGGCGTGCACCACCACCGCCCGGCTTGTCAATTAATTTTTAAAAGACTAAAATTTTGTTTTTCTGAGACAGGGTCTTTCTATGTAGCTCTGGCTATCCTAGAACTCACTATTTAGATCAGGCTGACCTTGAACTCACAGAGACCTTGCCTGCCTCTGCCTCCCAAGTTCTGGGAATAAAGGCATGGGCCACCACACCCACCTGGCTAAAGACTAGGTTTTTTAAAAGCTCAGTTTATGGACAAAAACGGAAATAAAGCCTCCCCTGTACATAAAAATATTTATTTCAAATAGCAACAAAAGCCAGATTCCATGCAGATCATTTTCCCTGAACGAACAAGAACAGAGTGAAATCCGGATTTGAGGTTGGGAAATAAAAGATGCAGAGCTGTCTTGGCATCTGTCTGCCCTCTTCTCCCACTCATTTGCCATTTGTTACTTGCAGGGGAAGTGGAAGGAAGGACGACATGGCAGATGACAGTACCCGAAGCTCTGCTTCCTCCGGGCACCTTCTGAGTTGGACTTGCCTCTGCCGCCCTTGTGATCCTGGGAACATCTGATTTTCGGAAAGGGCTGCGTGCCGAGGGCCAGACGGGATCACATTAAAACTTTGAGCTTTATGCAGGCACAGTAGCAGCAGCAGCAACAACGAAAAGTATATAGGAAGCCAGAAATAGAAGTTGGAGCTGTGGCCTGCCAGTCTGGGACCGCGATGGTGTGTGGATGGGCTCTAATTGAAGGGCCCGCATGAGTCACGCTTACCCAGCTCAGGGAGCCGGCAGCGCAGGGGCTCAGCATCCTGTCGTAACCCTCGGTAGCTGGGTTGAAGGAAAGAGAGAAGTTTTTGTTCATGATCTCATTCCAATCAGAATGTGTCCAGACGCCCAAATATTTGATTTGAGCCCGGTTGCTAAGAGACCTCCCACTGGGACCCAGCTGCCTGCGGGCAGGAGGGCGGTATTGGCATCGCTTCAGATTTCTGCCAATTTATTTTGAAACCAGAAAACCTGGAACTGCGGCCTCCTCAAGGCAACCATGGAGAGAGAAGAGATCTGAGCCAGCCAAACACTAGGGGAAAAACCAGTACTGACCTTCTGCTAGGAGCTTTGGGAGGGCTTGGGAGAGAATCCGAACGCTGCGATTGTTTACCTAGCGTTAAATGTGCTGGACTGGTAAGGAAGAAAGCTGGAGTGTTATGCTTAGGAACTGCAGGTGACATCTTGAAGCAACCTCTGGGATTTCAGAGCAGTGGTGGAGTTCCGTGTTATTGTTGGGTATTGAATCAGATTGCCCAGACTCAAACTCCCAACCACACATACCCAGCGTCTTGGGTTTCAATTGCCCAGTGACTTTAACCCCTTTGGGGGAATAGCCTGGGCAACACTGGTCCAGGTGAGTGTGTGAGCAGCCAGTGTACTAGGCAGAGCAGAGAACCTGGTTGTGATCCTCTCATTTCTCAACAGGACAGCTGTTTGTCCCAGTTAGGCCTTGGTAGGCCAACAGGAGAGGCTCCTCTACTGCAGGACCACACCCCTGGGCTGTTCTCTGTCGGAGACAGTGACATCCACAGGCCCGGAACGTCTTTCCAGGTGTTTATATATTGAAAAGGCTTTAGTACTTATTCACGTAACACGTGAATTTGTGTGCAAAGCCTAAGTTTTGTCATGGAGATTTTTGGATGAGGTTTGTAAGGTACAAATTCTAAGGATCATGGATGGTAAACCTCAGTTTTCAGTTAAAGCCCAAGTATGAGTCAGGTGTGTGTGTGTGTGTGTGTGTGTGTGTGTGTGTGTGTGTGTGTGTGTGTGTGTTATGTGTGTCAGCCAGAGGTTGACATTTTCCTTAGTCCTTCTACACCTTATTTTTCTGAGATAGGGTCTTCACTGGAATCTGAAGCTCACCAGTTTGAGTGGGTAGATTGGCTGGTGTATGAGCCTCAGGTATTTGCCGGTCTCTGCTTCCCCCCTCCCCCCAGCACTGGGGTTACAGACATGCAGTCTGGCTTTTTAAGTGCACGCTGGGGATCTGAACGCAGGTCCTCATATTTGCATGGCATGTACTTTTATTGACTGAACCATCTCTGTAGCCCAAGTCAGGATTTTGTAGAGGAACAGAACTAACAGTATGTATTGAGATATCAGAAGGAATTGGCTTATGTGATTATAAAGGCTGAGAAGTCCTATAATCTATTGTCTGACCTGGAGACCCAGGAACCCATGGTATAATTGCAGTCCACATCGGAAGGCCTGAGAACTAAGAAAGTGAATGATGGAGATCCCAATCCAAGGGTGCCCTCCTCCCTCTGCCTTTTGTGGTATGCAGATCCCAGTGTGGATTATGTGATATCCACATGCCTTGGGGTACGGAATCCACTGACTCAAACGCTAATCTCATGACGACACCCTATCAGACCCGGCCTCACTTGGGTTCTCTGGGACCCAATCAAATTGACACCGAGAGCTGTTACCACTCTCCATTTCTCCCTGGGACTATACTGTAGTCTGTGTTGTGTTCGACCCAGGGGCAGGTACTAGTTTGGCACTTCTTATGAAGAAGTTAAATATGGTACAGGAGGAAGCTTGAAATTAAATATGCAAATAGGAGATCAAAAGGCCAGGGCAGGGCCTGGACCTGCGACCCACGACAGTATCTGGTATCTGGATTTGCTTTGAGAGGCTCCAATCAAGTTTGTTAGGCTGGAAAAGAAGATGAAATAGAGGGGAGATATGTGCACAGTTGCATGAACCGAAGACTCGGGAAACTAAGAACAATGTGATGTAGTGTGGAGAACGTGCTATGGAGTCCCAGCTGTGTGCATCTCACGGTCCTGAAAAGCATCTCATCAGAAGGCAATAGGATTTCCATCTTAGGAGTCAGGAAAAAGGTACTTCCCAAAAGCAAACTATCCTTAAATCCAGAGAAAAGACTCCCCATTAAAACAATTTTTTTTCACCTTAGCCTCTACAGTGAAGAAATTTGAAGCTGGGCGGTGGTGGTGCATACCTTTAATCCCAGCACTTGGGAGGCAGAGCCAGGTGGATCTCTGTGTGTTCGAGGCCAGCCTGGTCTACAGAGCAAGATGCAGGACAGGCACCAAGACTACTATGCAGAGAAACCCTGTCTGGAAAAAACAAAAACAAAAACAAAAACAAAACAACAAGTTGCAATTTGCTTCCCAAGCTACAGTCCCTTTGGTTAAATAGATCATCTAAGGCACTCAAGGTTTGTTACAGGCCAGTGTAATGCCACAGTGAGTAGAATCGGTCACTGTGCTATCCTGGTCAGCTGACTTCAACCTCCAGAACCCACGGTAGAAAGAGAGAACTGACTCTTGAAAGCTGTCCTCAGACTTCCCCACTCACCATCATGCTCATGCCCTCCTCCCCACCAATAAAACATTCTAAAAACGTAACGATGCATTTTCATGAAAGAAGCTATGATGTCACAAGTGCTGCATTATGATGTCATCACAGGATCCCTTTGGTGCCTGACCAAGACAAACCGTGTCCCGTTTTGAATCCAAATCATCTTGCTAATGAGGAACATTGGCAGGAGAGGGAGGAGACCACTCCAAAAGAGATAAATGCAGCAGGCAGAGGGCCAAACTCCACATGGAGATCTTGAATATTCCACAGAATATTCAGCCAAAACCTGTCTCTTCGTTTTTCAGTAATGATCGATGACAGAGCGTAGGGTAAAAATAAACCCACTTCTGGTGTTGTTTCTGGCTGCTTCAGCGGGAAATAGCTTCGGTAACCTTCAGGGGACCGGGAGATGTTTGAGATTTGGATGCCTGAGGCTCTCCAGGGAGGCAGAGAAGGGAAGGCTGAGGGGCCCAAGTTCTTCACTTTGCTTAGTTCCAGTACAAATTTCATCAAGAGAAAGGCTCCTGTCCAGGCCGACAGTTTAAAAGTCTCTCCCAACTGTCAGTTTAAGGACCCACGGGCATTGGCAAGAGTGTACCTGCTCTGGGGTGGAATTATCCTCTGTTAATCCTGTTATCCTCTGACACTCCCAGAGTCCTTGTGTCCATCGGAGGTGTAAATTCCACAGATGGCCTCCATGAACTCTGGAAAAATCAGCCAGACCAGGATTGCTGGGAAGCACTTAGCTCAACTGTGTGGCTCTGTAACTTTGTGGATGGCTAGTTTCTCTCATCTTTCAGCAGCATTTAGAAATGATAGACAAGCTGAAAAACCACAGCAGCCCAGTCAACTCAGAGGAGAATTACCCTGCTTCCTCCTTTTTGAGACAATCTACTGTCCCTGCTAGGCCCAAACTCACCTCTGGCTGAGGATGACTTCGAACTTTTTATATTCGTACACCACCCTGGGGTTACAGTGTACCACCATCCTGGTTTATATGGTGCTAGGCAAGCCCTCTACCAGCTGTCCTATTCTTCCTATCCTTCCTTCCTTCCTTCCTTCCTTCCTTCCTTCCTTCCTTCCTTTCCTTCTTCCTCCCTGCCTTCTTCTTTTCTATTTATTTGTAACAAGGTCTTGCTATATAGCCTCAGGGTGACCTGGAACTCCCTAGTAGACCATGCTGGCCTCAAACTTGCTGGAAACCTTCTGTCTCCGCTTAATCTAGTGCTGAGACTATAAACGTGGGCTGCCACACCCAGTCTCTTCCCCCCTTCACCTTCTTTCCTATTTAAGAAGATATAAGTCATTTTACCTTTACTAAAAAAATTGTGGGCATAACTCAGTAGTGGAGTGCATGCTTAACATTTGGGAGGCCCTGGGTTCCTTTTCCAGCATTCCCCAAATAAAAACACCAATCTTATGGGTAGGTCTACGGTTTAAGCAGAAAAATTGCCATATGTTTCTGCTGCTAGATTCTATATGTGCTGGGGATTGAACCCATGTCTGTGGTCATGCTATGAACTATATATGTAGAACAGTGAGAGATTGCAAAGGTTTTATTTAAAAGAGCTGATGCCTGCAGAGTCAAGGCACTCAGGGAATGTTGTACTGACAGGGTCTTGTTACTTGATAGGTTTTTTTTTTTTTTGTTTGTTTGTTTTTGTTTTTGTTTTGCTCCAGCTAGAGAACCCCTGCTTTTTTGTTTTGCTCCAGCTAGAGAACCCCTGCTGGAGTCTTCTGACAGTCCAGGATTATTTACATCTAATGTAAAATGCACCCATCTAGTGCAAGTCTTGTAGGTGGGTGATTAAGGGATTTATTTTTCTTTTAAAATAATTTATTTTGTAATCCAAATGGAAAACAAACCCTGCCTCCCCCCAGCCAGATGTGACATATAATTAAAAAAAAGATGCATATTATCAATACCGTATGTTTGTCGGCTGCCTTTCTCTGTGAGGTTCCAAGTGTTTTTCAGAAATATCTCGCTGTCCCCATATGTTATTCCTGGCTAAAAAAAGGGCCGGGAAATGCCTGAAGTCAAGCAGAGTGTGAGATGTCAGAGGAGATCTTGGTTCTTTTATTTTTCACAACACCTTGCTCGGTTCTGTATTTAGCGCACCCAACTCTGGGGCACAGGGTGGTGCCTCTCTTTGGACTAAGTCAGGCTAAAACAAACAAACAAACAAAATCCATCTCTATTGTATCCTACAGGCTGTTTCTCGCTGTAGCCCTAAGGCAAAAGCTTGAACAAGCAAACAGCTCTCACCAGGCAGACTGATGGAGCCAATTACTTTCTGACTAGCTTCCTGCATCACACTATCTGCAGTCAGTTGCTAGCAGGGCACCAGCCCACTCACCAGCTACAGGATGCTGAGGCACAGTTCTGCGGAACTGGAGTGAAAGATCATGAATGAACCCTCACTGTGAGACCGTATCACCTGGAGGGATGTCACAATGGTAGATTGCATTTGGAACTCTGGCTAATTAGGCTGTCTCTGACAAGTCCTCAGGACTTCAACCCAGACTTGAAGACCCCTTAAAGCTAGAAACTGAGATTTGTTACGGATGCCCAGTGTAGGAATTCAAGAGGCAGAATCGGGACTTTCTCTGCAGCCACTGGTCTGAACTTCTTAAAGACATTCAGTATTTACTGAGGTTAAGGTGAAATCATACCAAGGGCAGAAAAGTAACCACAGGGGCCTCTATCCTCCCTATTGATGATACAATCAGTGTAGAGTATTGCTATGCTGTAAGTCCTGATTGTCACACTCATCAAAGCACTTAACATTGTCATGTGTGTCTAAACGAGGCCTTTTTCCAAATAGATCTTTTAAGTTTGTCTAGGCTCATCGGCTGCTGACCAGGCTCTCGACCCCAACGCACACCACACGCCTGCTGAAATCAGAGGCTAATGTGATACTGTTTTGGTGTTCATTAGCAGCGTTTGACAAATATACTCAATCCTGTGTCCATGCACCTGCAGATTCAACCAACTGTGGATGGAAAAGGTTTGTTCATTTGTTTTTTTTAAATTGCATCTGTCCTGAACATGTACAGACCTTTCTTCCTTGTCATTATTCCCTCAGCAGTACAGTGTAACAACTATTTACATAGCATTTACATCTTGTTTAGGTACTGTAAGTCAACTAGAGTAAATGGGAGGAGTATGTGGCTCTTATGCAAATATTATGCCATAAGGAACTCTCGTATCCACAGATATTGGTATCCTGGAGATAGGAGGAAGATCCATGGACCGATCCCTGGAGAATGCCAAGGGATGGCTGTGTTTCAACCTCTCCATCTCCTGGGTACAAATGATAGGACTTGCCACTTTCTGGCTCCTATGTGCTGGGTGGGGCTATACAACTGGTAGCAGCCAATGACTTGCAAGTGGCAGTGATATGTGTCATTTTGGGGATATAACAATTAGATTCCTTTAGACGTAACAGCTCGTAGAGTCTGAGATTGTACTGCACTCAGGCCCCTAATCAACTCATGACAGATGTGAGAAAGAAATCTTTGTCATCATCACCCAGTATAATTTGGGGATTGGAATAAACACTGCTATTCTAAGGGTTTCACCATTATTGGTTTGGTATTTTTTTTTGCATGCTTTTCCATCTTTAAATTCACACCCCACCCTTATCTGCTTGGCAGCTTCTCTCTGGTCCTTCCAGACCATCCTTATCGGTCATCTTTCCTGCACAGCTGCTTCTGAGGCCTCCTGGATGCCGGCACTCTTCAGCCTGGGCTGGCACCGATTGCTGTGCGCATCTCTATCGCTGCCCGTGCTCGGTACCTTCCTCGTTGCTGTGATGAATACTGGACAGTAGCAATGTAAGCAGGAGAGAGTTTACTTTGGCTCACAGCCCGAGCGAACAGTTCATCACTGTGTGGGAAAGTTGGGGGGCAGGAGCGTGAGGTAGGGGGGCACATTGTATCAGAGGGAGAGAGAGATGAATGCTTCCTTGTGCTCCGACAGCTTCCTCCTTTATATTCTGCCTGGGACCCCAGTCCATGGGATAGTGCCACCCACATTTGAGTGGGACATTCCTCCTCAGTCAAACTTTTCTGGAGATAACCGCACAAACATCCCAGGTATGGATTTCCATGGTGACTCTAAACCCCATGAAGTTGACAATGAAGACTGACCACCATGGAGCCGATAGCCCATTTTATTATTGCTATTT